ACTTTTGGAGCAGATATATCTGAAAAAGCAGTCATGGTTCTGATAAATGACAGGTATGAACTATTGATATTTATTTCATCATTCATAATATGATAGGATCTGAAGATGACAATCCCCCCATTTTTTTTTTCTCTTCTCTTTGCTGCTTATGAATCAGCTTCCTTTCCTGCTTAAAATGGTTTTGCTGTTAACTTCTTGTATTCCCTACCTGCTGGAATCTTTGTACCAGTTCTTAGTTCAAGAATGGCTTCAATGTTAAGTGCACTATTTTTTTCCTTTTCAGACTGTTAGGAAAGATCAATAAAATTCTGTCCCCAGACCTTCAGCTCATCTCCAATTTTTAGAGCATCTTGATGTGACATACCTTCCTCCCTTCAAAAGCAATGCTCTGACTTYTTTCTGTGGCCTCTCTCTTTTCTCTGTGCTCTTGATTCAATACAGCTGGTTTTGCTCTTACAAAAACAAATGTGGAGCTTCAATTCCATTTTATTTTCTGTCTACACTGAGGCGAAGATTTTACATTTCATACACATGTGTAGCACACCCAGGTCTATACAAATAGGGAACAGAAAAGGATTACATTTAGAGGAAAATACTCATTTTATGGGAATTTGGGAAGCACATATCTTGCTGTTTTAACGGTGCTGTGAACTGCTAAATAATCATGGTATTTATTCCCAGCAGAGCAGCTGTATTTGAAAGGTAAGTGCAACGATTCTGTTATTCTGCAGTGAGAGAAATAACCTGATGGATGTTCCCACKCCAAATAGTTTGGTGAAACATATGAGTCATTCACTGTCCGASAAAGAACAAGATATTTTCTGTGGAGCTTCATCAGGGTGGGATTTTGGTTTGGAAGCCATGTGAATGACTGTGGGATGGGGACATGTTGGACCTCTCATGATGTGCAGATGTGTAGAGCACATCCAAATTCTGCAAACAGGTGGAATTTTAAAGGGAGGAACAGTTTGGCTTGTTGCCTCTATGAATGCATCAAAAACTGTCCATGAAGGAATATTTGGCTCTCAAGTATTCCAGCTTAAATAACYGGTATTTTGGATGTCCTGTTTGTACTTCAGGGACAATGAAATACTCTCTAGATCTGTTGATTTTTGTCTTCTTAACATGATCAGACAAACAAACAGAATAAACTTTTATTGCCTGACAAGGAGACAAACAAAACAATAATAACACAAAATAAAACAGTGTAAATAAACTCTCTCTCTAGAGGTAAACAATTTTACTTGTTAATTCCCACTTCCAAAACTGCTGAATAAAAAGCTATTCCCACGGATAAAGAGGATATTTTACTACTCTACTGTGTRTCAATTACATCTACACCTGGGAAAATGAATTGCTTTTAAAATACTAATAGCCTAAAATATTACATTGCATGTAATACTAATAACCACCTGAATGCAATGCTGTCATTTGCTTATTTTTTCTCTCCT